TAATACAGTACACTAATAACAAAGTTAGGTTTTGTGTTTTCAGATTTTTTTCTGAAAATGAATAAAGTGAACGAAGCAAAAATTTTATTTTTGTATATAGACAAAATAGTAAACTATTCAGTATAGGTTATCTTTAAGCATAATTAATGTATATTAGCTGTTTTATGATGGAAAGCTACAAATAGTTATGCGATTTAATAAAACCAGTATCAGTTACTTGGAATGTTACTGGAATTGTAGAGCTCATTAATGAATAACTAGCCACGTCAAAAAATAAGTATTATACTTTATTATACGACTTGTTTCTACACTTAATAAGTACCTAATAAATTAACAAGAAACAAAGTGAGTAAGCTCCATTGGATTACTGAATTAACATCAACGACTCTACAATGTTCGTAGTTCTGCGTACAGCCAGCAGAGGGCGCCACTGGTTGCGCAGTGAATTAGGCAACGATTCACAACTTCAGCATACAGCCTTAGCTGTTTATTGCATAAAGTATCCTTCGCACTTATGAATGAAAACTCTGTAGAGCCAATGAAGTAATGCTCTTAGCATCAATATCGTCATTCATCTATGACTAATGTCAGAAACCAATTGGCGTGAGTAAGTACGAATCATTCGTAACAGCTATCAGTGTCTGTTGAACAAATTATGTGTATTTGTTTGTCTTGATAATTCGATCATTTGTTAGGTTATGATTAAGTTGTAAAATGTTATGCTGATAAGGGGTTGGGAAGCGAATGAGTTAACGCATTGGTGACCTGTATCATAATCAGAAAAAGGATTGGGTGTAAGTAAAGTTCCAATATTTCGGTGAGGCAGGGCGCAGGTCGTCGACCGCACTCTTCGACGGTCGGTGCGTGCTATTTCCAGGCGCGAGAGCCGAACGCGCCCGACTCGGCCCGATCGCGCGGTGCGCGCACGCGTAAACAAACAATATGGCGGAATTGTCATTCATTAATTCATTCATAAACGATCATTGTATTTGTCTAACTATAATTAAATAACTTTAGAAGCATCGCAAAAGTACGCGCTGTCCTATCCAGCTCAATCATGTTTTAATTTTAATTTAGTAAATCAGGAAATTCGTATTTTCTAAATTGGACATCCGTTTGATGCGGTTGTTCATTAATGCGGATCAAAGGAGGGAAAATCACTATGTTTTAGGTATCGCGATGACAAATATATTGTTGATAACCATTGATTGGCCTAACTATTACGAAATATTCTGCCAACGAATGCTATTTGCTATCGTGTAGGTTGAGCTGCTGCGTAGATCTTGTCATTAATGTTATAAATTATTTGGCGAACAAAACAACTTTATTTTTGTCTTCTTTTATTTTATAATGGCTGAAATTTATTTTCAATGTAGGTGTGTAAACTTCTTTATTTTCATTTTCGCTCGACAAAAAATACAATGTCTTTTGTTTAAACTGTGATGATGGATATAATGATTGGAAACTGTTTAGAATTTCTTTATCACGTACCTACTTTATAAATTGTCAGAATCCTGACTCTACTTCACCTACATAATGGTGGTTTTAAACTTCAACACGTACTTTATGTAAGTGTGATAAAATTTTTGGAATCCGACGCTACATTTACGCATTGACGGTTTTACGTAAAGACCTCTTGCGTCTTTTATGAAAACCTATGTAGGTACCTACTTTATAACTTTTTATTTGTCTTTCTTCTAACTAAATTCACAAAATTGGTGTCAGACTTAACGAGCATTATTATAGATATCATTAGCGTCTGGCATGGATCAATCAGAACTACACGACTTTTGTACTCCAAAGCACAAAATCATGGGAACTAATCTAAAAAACCTTTTTGTTAAAGTTATATTATCTGTGGTTAAAGTAAAAATCAATTCATGGTTTACCAAAAACGGATATGACGACATAGTGAATATTATTACGCTAAAATTAGGTATAATTATCATGTTTTCATAAGCCGGCGCTCTTGAAACATACCTAACCAAAGTTCGAGATAAACCCGGTAACCTCTCGTTTTGTCTCGTTTGTACAATCAACCAGTGGGACGTAAACCTACCACTAAATGGCTGATTTTTTAAATAGATTGTGTGAAATGTGAAATATAAGGTTCGAAATCTTCGAAGTCTGTCTTTAAGAAAAAAACAATTTTGATAGGTGGAATACAGTATTACTTACATAATAAGCGTTTAAAGTAGAAAACGGTGTCTTTTTAAACATTGGTTTAATAAACCTTTCATTTAAGTACGAATAACTATAAAAATCGTCATTGACTGACTTATGCTTAAACATACATTTGTAATCCATATTAATAGCGTCTGATGCCTAATGAAATAAAATGTAGGACAAAAAAGATAGAATAGAGTTTTGTGCGGTACCTAAACCAACTTACAAATCATGTTTGTTATTCTATAACGACAAGAATAATAAAAACAAATTAATTCAGGATCCAATTACGTCTTACGTTTGTCTATACAGATAATTACATTACAATTATTATAAACGATGTTGGCGAAGAGAGCGCGACGCTATGAAGGCAGGCTCTGTAAGACACGACACAAGGGTCCGCACTTATGGCATTGTATCCTAGGACAATATAACATGCAGTGTGTAATTACTAAGTTAGATACTTTGATGAGATAATAATATGCGTAGTGTGTCCTGGGACCTGCCGTCAATTAAATTATTTAGCTTTACGTTATAAGTAGGATTTGCATCTTTCAATTGACTCATGAAAATAATGTATCCTTAATTATTTCTATTATTTTATTATATCCTGTCCCTGTCAAAGATCGAACACAGCACCAAAACTTATAAAAACAGACAGTATCCCGCCTGATCACTTACAAGTGACAGACGACAGCTCAACACTGGCTTATTCATCACGGTTCCAAATTGAAAATTTGAAAAAATAAAAGACAATATCCCGGACGATCCCGGAAACCCCGGAGTCCTGGCGACCATAAGCGGCACATGTGCGCAGCATATTCGGCGCTTTGTGCCAACTCCTGACCATGTGGCTGACGGAACGACACGCTTTTTGTCCCATTTTTTGTATTGAAAAAACAGTGAACACATATCCTGATTTTCGACTGTACTTGTTAATTGAAAACTGACCAGTCGGCATGAAATCATTGTTGGATTTAGAATTTAGAATCAAATGAACAAAAAAGTTAAGGAGTTTTAAAAATTATCGTCTGTTTTCCTTGATTTTTTCTCGATCTCTACATTTACTTATCATCTTTTATGTGAAGTGAACTCTGCTTAGTTGTAGTCTGGCACAATTTACCAAACTTTGGCAATACATACTTACAATATCTTTATGAAATACATTACGAGTAGCGAATGAAATACAACAGCGTTTCCGTCGTAGGTGCTACGGTAAAAGCTCTATAACTCAACGTACTTTTTTGCTACAGTATTGTCTTGCTCTTTACAATTAAAAATTTCCTGTTCTTTTGCTTGTTTCTTAGCGGTACTACGTTCTAAACTCTGCTTTTCAACTTGCGTTTCTTGTGATTATATTGCTCCATTAATCTATTTATTTATCAGATTTTCCTAAAGAGGTTTCAGGATTTCCTACCAGCATTAGATCTGTAATATTTCAAGACAAACTGATAACAGCGTACTGCGCAGCGGCCACGTGGCCGTTGAATATTTGCCAACGGCTGCTTCCTGTGCGCCGCGCCTGCGCGTCTGCGTCTACCAAAAGCTGTGACTACGTCACGCAGGAGCGACACGGATGATTCGTAAACAAACACATTCTTATCACGTGATCGCTGGTGATCCTAGAACACACGGCTGAAATTGATACTTTTAAAAAAAATTGAGACTTGGAGTCACATGACTAATTAGTTTAACACGTTTTTTCTTCTTTAAAATACTTACATCTTTGACATTTCGTTAAAATATACATGAATAAATAAATTATATTTATTGAATTTAAATTGATATCAAGATATTTCAAATTTCATAAACATGCATGAAATAAGTTTACAAATTTCAATATGGTAGTCTAGCCCTTTCCCAGGGTAATTAAAATTAATGTAGTGTAATGTAATGTAGAGTCGACTCAGCATGGTTTCTGCATTCTTAGATAGGTAGCGCTAATTATATCTTGCAACAAGGTTAGCTTTGTTTAGTTACCTATCTAACCATCCCGCTGTGAATCGCTATCTGCTGTTTTCGTAGCCTTTCTTACAATGTTTATATGCAAAAGTTCGTAATTCATTCTTGAGGAAAAGAATTAAAATGTAATATGTAATAATAGTCAGAACCTTCTATTATCCTGCTTTCGCCTCCGAGATTTATTTTACCATGTAGTACCCCNCTTTTATTTTTGAGGACCAACAAGTAACGATCAGATATAATTTTTACATCTAAATTTTTTTTTCCGTAGTTCAAAAGAGGTTAAAATATTGATCGATTTTATTTTATGTCTCAAAGAAAGAGGATCAATCATTAAAATAGATGACCATTTAGATTTTTTTATTTGCCGTTTTTGCTAATTTAAAAAGATCATTTAAATACATGCCATAATTTAATCATGTCTCTCTCTGCCGTGACAATGCCAACAATGCCGCATCCATTTTCAATGCTTCGTGCATTCGTGTTCAAGTTTCTACACTCGCAGGGAATGGTCCGCGTTGTGACTGTTTGGTTGGGTTTTTTTTTAAGACTACCGTCTTTTATGAAATATTAGTTTAGTGATATTATTTCTTTGTTTTTAGCGAAGCTCGTGTCGCTTATAAAAAATGTGTATCTTTAACCACAAATACATAGCTTTTCACAGTAATCCAATAGATTTTCCTTTACTATGTTATAGTTCTTATTTTTACGTAATTACGTCGTGTGAATAATTGCTCCGTCCATTTTTATACATCTATTGGCCATTTGATAATATATTTATCAAAAATCCAACAAATTTTCGAACTTGAACTATACTTTTATTTATTTATTTATTTTAAGGACTCTATCGTCGGATATTAGTTGGAGGCAGACGTGTCGCTTGCTGCTCCTCAACTGCGAATTTTAAGCTCACGCTATAATAGTCTCTCGGTGCTCTTATAATACGTATAAGATTCACGCGCGCGCACAAGTGCTATCTTTCTACAACTTAATCCGCTCGGGGAAGTCCGTACGTGCTTTCGTGAGTGCTCGGCGCCCACGCTGTCTGCGCTGCGACTTCTGCTCACTTGCACCTCTGCGCGATAAAAAGGGACGGAGCGTGTTTACACAGTAGATAAATCTAGCTCATATATCTACTGTGGTGTTTACCTGTCAGTTTTTTATCTACGGAGTTCACTATAATGAAGACTTGTGCGGCTTGCAATGACACCGTATTACATAATGATTGCTTGGAATGCACGCGATGCAGTGAGGCTTATCACTATCTGTGCCTAAACTACACTGTGGAGGAGATACAATCTTTGGATAATGAGGTCAGGAAGTATTGGCTTTGTCCTAAGTGCAAAAATAAACAACCTAAAGGTGACAACTCCAATATGTTAGTGCGCCCGTCTACACCTACTGGAATGGCCGAGGTAACATTCAACGTGACACGCCGCAAGGCTCACAATAGGCCGGAGTCAACACAATCGTCTACAGGTTACGTCACACGTGCAGATATTAGGTTAATTATGCGAGAGGAGATGCGCTCGGTGATGAATGAATTCGCGGATGACCTAAAAGGCACGATGAACGTCAGGCTTCGTGAGGTGAGCGATCAACTTGCCGAGGTTAGGACTTCTATGGGATTTTTAAGCGATCAGTTTGATTCTTTAAAGAGCGATATCGACAGTCATGGCACGAAAATAAAACAATTAGAAACTGTCAACAATGAGTTACGGTCTGAGTTAATTACGTTATCCAACCGAGTTCGTCAAATGGATCAAATGTCTAGATCTTCCAATCTTGAGCTTCAATGTGTGCCTGAACATAGATCTGAAAACGTAATTTCTGTCATTAAACAACTTGGGCATGTAATTAACCATCCTATCAATGACTGCGACATACTATATTGTTCCCGTATTGCAAAGTCCAACCCGAACTCATCGAGACCGCGATCAATTTTGGTCAAGTTCGCCACTCCCCGCACCAGGGACTCGGTGCTCGCCGCCTCAATTCAATACAACAAGACTCATCAAAAAGAAAAATTGAATACTAGCGTACTGGGTCTGGACGATAAGAGGTCGCCGGTGTACGTAGTTGAGAACTTGACCGTCGAAAATAAAAGCCTTCACGCGGCGGCTAGACTTCGTGCAAAACAACTGTCCTTCAAATATGTATGGGTGCGTGGCGGTCGAGTGTACGTGCGTAAATCGGACACTTCAGAGGCTGTTTTCATTCGCGACTTGGATACATTAAATAATCTTAAATAAGTAGCTTTTATTTTTCACCTAGTGTTGGTATTCTTGTATTTAAATTCGATAATCAAATAAAGTTATATTTTCAAAATGTTAGAGGATTACGTACCAAAACTAATGATTTTTATTTTAATATGTTAACGTGCGAATATGACATAATTGTACTTTGTGAGACTTGGCTGGCCGGTGACATACTGGATTCTGAATTGTTTTGTGACAGGTACCGGGTTTATAGGCGCGATCGCGAATCTAGTGGATTTCACTGCAACAAATCGGGTGGAGGAGTTTTGATAGCAGTGTCAAAGTGGTTAACATCAAGTCGACATCCGCAATTCGAGAGCAATTGTGAGGATTTGTGGGTTAGTGTGGATATTTGTGTAGACAATCAGATAGAAAAGCTAATGATATGCAGCGTATATTTACCACCACCTATTCAAAAACACATAATTGAACACTTTTTCGACAACGTGAATAGAATATCTGTAAACTTTAAAAAAACGTTAATATTAGGCGATTTTAACTTGGGTGGTATACACTGGCATGGTCAGCCTGGGTCTCCTCTTACCGCATCAATTAGCCATAAAAGTGTGTATGAAAATATGCTATCTGACTTTATTGCTTATCACGATTTAAATCAATATAACTGGATCAAGAACAGTAAGGATAGGATATTGGATTTAATTTTGTCTAATATGTCGGTGTCCGGTATGCGCGTTAGTGAAACCCCTCTAACTAACATCGATACGTATCACCCACCATTGGAATGCGAGTTACAATGTAGCACTTCACTCTGTGTTCTCACTAAACAAGAACCTAGGTTTAAATTTTATAAAGCAGACTACTCTAAAATAATTGCCGCATTAATGGAAATACAGTGGCATGATTTGTTCTCGCAGTATTCTAGTATTGACACAATGGTATCTGCATTTTATAATATTATCAATGACATTATTAGGAAACATGTTCCATTGTCTAAGTCTAACTCAGATAAATACCCAAGGTGGTACAGTAAGTGTTTAATTAATGCTCTCCGTGAAAAGAATAAATATCGTAAGCTTTTTTCCAAATATTTGAATCCGCTAGATGACTTAACATATCGTTTACTTAAGAAGAGATGTACACAACTCACACGTATGAATTATAAAAAATACATTGCATCGATCGAGTCCTCTTTAACTGCAAACCCTAAACTGTTTTGGTCTTTTTTAAAACAAAAACGTAATGGCCTCAGTTCGTATCCCTCGAGCATGCACTATGGTAACCAAATTGCAACTCAAAGATCTGATATATGTGAATTTTTCGCTTCGTGTTTTTCCGATGTATATGAAAATAGCGATAAGCTCGATACTTTGCGACCAACTATCCCTGACAATCCTGATTCACATTGCTTAAATAGCATATCTTTTTCGAAAGATGCCGTTGAAAGGGTTTTAAAAAGACTTGACCCACATAAGGGAGCAGGGTCAGATGGTATACCCCCTATATTTGTTACTCATTGTAGTGAATACTTAGCTGAACCTCTAAGCATAATTTTTAACTTTTCTGTTTCTACAGGCCAGTTCCCATCTGCATGGAAGGAGGCGCTAGTTATTCCTATACACAAATCGGGTGACAAGTCAGCAGTAAAAAACTATCGTCCTGTTTCTATCTTGCCTGTATTTGGAAAGGTTTTTGAGGTTTTGATTCATCCCATTTTATATTGGCACGTAAAAAACACTCTCATACCTGAGCAACATGGCTTCATGAAAGCCAGATCAACCTCAACAAATTTAGTCTGTTTCATGTCTGACTTGGTTGAATCGGTGGATCGTGGCACTCCTGTTGACGTTATATACACGGACTTCAGCAAGGCGTTTGACAAGGTGGACCATCAAATCCTTGTTGACAAGCTTTATCACTTTGGTATCACAGGAAACTTGCTGAACTGGTGTGCATCTTACCTCGTCGGCAGGTTGTCGAGAGTTGTGATCGACGGATTCGCATCTGATAGGTTTTTGGCATCATCAGGAGTGCCCCAGGGTTCCCACTTAGGTCCCTTATTTTTTAACATTTTCATCAATGACGTTCACTCATGCTTTCATAACTCACAAATACATTTATATGCTGACGATCTCAAAATTACAGTTCGCTTGGAGAACGTTAATGACTGGCGCCTCCTCCAGGATGACCTGAATCGCTTTGCGCGGTGGTGTAATATAAATAAAATAAAATTAAATGCTGATAAATGCAACTTCGTACATTTTTCGCGTAATAAGAATCAATATTTTAATTCATATAATATAGACAACCAAGTGATACGAGAAGTTGATGTCATTCGAGACCTTGGAGTCTACATTGATAATAAACTGCGTTTTCACGTGCATATCGATAAAATAGTCACAAGAGGCTTTAGGTTGCTGGGTTTCATACTTAGAAATTGTCGGGATTTCAGAAAGGCATCGAGCAAAATTGCTGTTTTCAACTCACTGGTTCGGTCGGGATTAGAGTATGGTAGTGTCGTTTGGACTCCTTTTTATGAAATACATAAACGCAGAGTTGAATCAATACAAAAGAGATTTCTTTGGCATTTGTCATATCAACATAAATTAGCTAAACAGCTCCCAAGCTACAATACACGCCTAAATTATTTTAAACTGTATAGCTTGGAAGACCGCAGGAAAATATTGGATAGTCTATTCCTATACAAAATAATAAATGGTTACATAGATTGTCCTGATCTCATTGGACGGATTAAATTCAATGTTCCCTTCAAACTAGCTCGGTTGTCCAGGTATCTGCCGTTTAAAGCAAATGGTTTTAGGACAAATCTGGGTCATTTCTCCTCTATCAACAGGATTCAGTCACAATTTAGCAACCTGTCACGTTCGTCCGGGGCCAGCGTTGATATGTCATCTTCGCTACGTAAGTTCAAAAAACAAATTTCTGAATTGTATACTCCGACGGTTAGTAAATAATTTATTGTTTTGCATTCTGTCACTTTGGCAACGTTACTGTTTTCCAACATTCTGTGCATGTCGTGGCAGGCAACACCTTAGCTTAATTTATTTATAAGGATACTGTGAATGTATGGTGTATGTTTTGTTGGTTGTCCTTAAATAAATAAATAAATAAATAAATAAATGTTATCACTATGAGGACAGGTTTATTATGAAAGTGTTCAACAGCATCAGCTAAAATGATACGAATAGGTTTCATTCAATTTTACATGAACGAGAATTCGAATGGTGTTCATTGATTATCAGAACAAATAAAAAAGGTAATAAACTTAAAGCTATGTCATCAGTAGATCATTAATGATGGTTGTGGAATCGTAGTCGTGATTGCCCATAGCTATTTGAAATCGTAAATGTTGGTAAGAAGGCTGGCTAATGAAATATTAAAGAAACACTGATGGTTCTGCGTAGGATGCTCTATGTCATAATAAGAAAATTCCGTTACGGCTCTATTTGTATAAACAAATATTGTATTTATGATACTAAATTTTAAATGAATGTTATTTGTATGTGGAAGAAAGTTTTCACCGTTAAATATTTAACTAAGAAACGATTCAACATCTGTCGGACAGTTCTGTGACTACGAATTCATAGATTTTAGAAAAAGCACCAAAGGTAATTTTAAAGCAATTTTATTTGGTACACAAAATTCAGGTTTTAATCAAGTTAGGATTTCATTTATCGCTGTGTTAGGTAAGGCTTTGCTGAAATAATAACATAGAATTAAGGAAGTTTGTTAATAACCTGACTGTGAAACAAACTTTGTCAGATATACTTAAACAGGCAAGGGCTTAGGAATTCGCTGCTATACTCAGTAATTAATTATGTGCCTAAACTTCCAATTTACCGATTGAATTTACTCGTAGCTTCTAGAGAAGGTTGTTGCTGTATAATTGGAGCTGTCGAAATGACTAACAAATAAGGCGTTTCCAAATAATAGTGAGTAAAGATTAATGTAAGCCTGAACTAGTTGGGTTTAGTTAGGCTCGGGAGCTGTTCGTAATTATTGAGAATACAGCTGCTTCCTGCGGGGGCGGAGTTAGGGTTTTTTTAAACGAATGTACCGCCGTTATTGGCTGAAGGAAGGGAAGACATCAGGAATTACAAATTTAAATTCGCAGGGGAATAGAGCGTGAGGGCGCGGAATGTCTCGCATATGTTCCTTATCGTAATGAGGTCGTTAGGTTGTTTTTTATCAACTGTTTAGTTTGAAGGAAATGCCGGAATGTCGCCGTGACGAAACAGTGTGTTTTTTATCAAAGTTTCGGCTTTCGTTGTTAATTTGTGACAATCATCACTATATTTTTATTATTTACAGTTAATTCTATATTTGACACTGTTGAAGAAACTTAAACTATTATTAATGTACGGACATTTGTTGCTGAAAATATGGAATTAATTTTTACTCTAATAAAGAGTATTTATAGATATTGTATAAAGGTAGCAAAGTTCCAAATACACCCGTAGGTACCGTTAATTTAATTTGTGAAGCAACCCACAATATAACTTGGGTGGCTCGCGATCGGCCGGCTGTGATAGGCCATTTAATTATCACCGTAGATCAAAGATGATCTCCAAACCCCTAATTTCTATTTTTGATAAATTCAAGGGTGAACATACAAAACATCTGTGGGCAATTAGTCATACAAATCCGGTTATTAAAGGATTATCTTTGTATTTTAAGAGGGGTTTGAAAGAATGCTACTTTGGGATAAGGGTAAGGCATGCTGAGATTTGCGCCACATTTTTGGACGTGCTAAGTGAGGCTGGCGGGAGATAAAAGCCTATGTCTGGGTAAACAAAAGTTTCTAAACAGAAGTAAGTAGTGTGACTCACTGTTTTCAGCCTGTTTTTATGCGTATAAGGGTAGGAGACGACGTAAAATTCGTTAAGTATTAATAGGTTTCGATTCGGCAAAGTGGTATGTTACATTGTCGTCACAACAGACATTTATGGGTGAAGTCAGTATATGATAACGACTTTGATTTATTGTAACAACATTTAAACCTTGAATAAATATTCAGATACCTGTTCTATACAAAGTACTTACCTTAGTCGATGTAAAAGAGTTTTTTTAATCTACAACAAGTAAGTTCTTAGCCTGCATCTCACCTGATGGAAAGTGATGATCAAATTTTATGAAAAGACGGGGAAAATATATGACTGTTACTCTTACTTGTAATTTAATATATTTTTTTCAGTACATATTTTACAATTTGAATTGAGTAGTTAATGTAAATAAGGATGCCTTATGCAGTCTAGTTCTTTACATCAAATTTCCTTGTGGCATTTTTTTAACGTTATTTAATATATTTTTTTCAGTACATATTTTACAATTCGAATTGAGTAGTTAATGTAAATAAGGACGGCCTTATGCAGTCTAGTTCTTTACATCAAAATTTCCTTGTGGCATTTTTTTAACTTACCATGTTTTAAATATGGCTAGTTCCCCTGTGTAAACTCAATCACAGCATACCCGCTCGTATATTATAAGTATTGTGACACACATTTTATGAGTACGAGTGGAGTGAGACGTCACACGGCGACGCGGGTCGCGTGGGTGTTGTCTTATAATAATGCGAGCCTTAAAACTATGTCTGGTGGGGGGATGACGATAGGAAATATCGATGTAAATATCCGAATTTATGACTCTTTTATAAAGCTAAAAATATAAGTAGTTCATCATCATTTTAGCCACAGGACGTTCACAGCTAAACATAGGCCTCCCCCAACGCGATTCTATATCGCCCGGTTGGTAGCGGCCTGCATCAAGTACCTATAAGTAGTTCCCTATCAACAAACATCAGGTTTATCGGACCTTCTAGTGAAATTATTTATTTTACAAGGTTTTTCCTGCGGCCTCGTCCACCTGTAATTCAGTGTGTCTTGAACACGCGCGACCTGCACTGAAACAGCCATCGTTAAAACTGTACTGAAACTTCTTTTATTTTAAACTTATAGTAATGATGAAGTTCAATCAATACCGAAATGCAAATTATTTCAGCGGTTTAACGTGAAAAGGTAACAAACGAACTGATAAAGTTACTTTCGGCCCTTTACAACGTTATTAGTAGTTTTTTTCAATTGTTTGTGATAAAATATACAAAATTCTTTATTAACTATATCGATATTTAGTCAACGTCGATGTAAATCGATCATCTCTAGTATGATATTCGCAGCCTATTCAGCGAACGTGCAAATCTGATAGAAGAATAGCGATGGGTTGCCTTAACAAAATGTAGGCGGATGATATGAATATCAAAGCCCATTTAATGTGATGCGCAAAAGTGCGTACAATCGATCGCGAAAATATCTACGAATATTTAGCCAACCTTGCACGTACCCATATTGAAAGATGTACGCATATTTTCACACCTGACTGTTATATTAATGTATTATCATATCAAAATAATAAGTCATTGTTCTAAAATATTTTGGGTGAATAAATTATATGGTAGGTATCATATTTTTTCTAGCTTCACTTATATGCTGTAAAAAGTGACTTGACTTATGAATTAGTAAACTAAGTGGCAATTTATTTTACATTAAGTAATAAAAAATACACAAAAGTTTAAAGAAACTTTGGAAGTTTTCAACTGTTTGTTTCTAACACTGGTTGTACATAGTTAAAAATGAGTGTTACAAGACAACCATAAAAGTTATGGGAAATTCTGACATCTGGCTCTTAAATTTTAAGTGGCGATCAATAAAACGCCAAGCGCTGGCTAGAAGCTAAACCAACTTGACATATGCATGGGTTGGTTGGGGTTGCACTTGTCAAAATCGTATTGAATATGCTGATTAGTGAGCACATAACCACAATAGTTGGTTCGTTAAAATTGAACCCGAGGAATCGCAAGGGGAGCGTGTGGTGAACGACAAAAAATAATTTGATTTATTTGATACACACACAACCTGTTATAATTTTTTATTTTATCATAAAGAATATCTTTCACTTCAGTGTCTATAACTATGAATTGAAATAGGTATCTTTGACTCGTTGTGTTTTGTATTTTAATGATTTTTAAGTAGGCTTGCTTAGCATTAACCCACTTAGTATGAATTTTGCCAAGGCGACTGTATTTCGCAATAAATCGTAAACTGCTTTGACTTGCTATTCAAAATGGCTTCATATTTTGTTATTTAAGAGTGCATTGTATTTAAAGTTGAACTCGTTTTAAATATGAATTATGATTTGTTTTCTACTACGTGTTTAACCAAAAAATAATTTAATTAATTATACAGCTTATTATTTCTAAAGGATTTAATGAAAATATGTTTTCAGGGTGAACGCTAATTTAACTCTAAGAGAACAAAAATCATTGCATTAATTTGTTTCCATTTTAATTAAAAACCAAATGAAGCTACCGTTCCATTCTTTCTCAATCTCCATCTAGTAGTTTTCGTAGTTTATTTATCCCATATTGCTCTAGTGTCCCAGCCTTCCCTAGGGACTAGGGTCACCATTCGTTTATTTATTTATTTTAAGGACAGCCAACAAAGCATACACCTTATCTAATATAACCTTAATACATCAAACATT